CGTTCAACGCTGACGACGATCTGACTGGCAGAACGCGCGCTTCGTGCTCTTCAACCGGTCACGTGTTCGCGCTGACCATCCGTGACGTCAAGGACGCAGACGCGGGCATCTACTCGGCCATGGCGCAGAGTGGGGAGGAGAAAGCGACCTGTTCGGCACAGCTTGTTGTGCATGGATGTTAGTAGTTGCGCTTCGATTTCATGGCGGATTCATGCAACATTTGCATAGTCCTAGTCTTAGTTCTAAGCATAGTCTTAGTATTAATTTTTGTCCTGAACATCTGAGATATCTACTCAGAAACATTAAAACTTGATTTGAGCATAGAAGTCATGTGAGAATTTGTGATTCTTTCTGTATTAGAGATGAGCAAAATTATTTATCAAGCTCATCAACATCTGAGCTTTCTCATAATATTTTTTTCGGAACATATAAACAACAAATCATCAACAATTCTATCAAAATTTGAATTCCAAATTAATCATCTCCCAAGGTCGTTTCTTGAGCTTATGCTCATGCTTTAGACTAAAATTGGTGTGTCAACGGCCTCATGCAAGAACCTTGTTCCAACTTCTATCTATGCTCAAAATTATGACTAAGACTATAATTTGGACTATTTAAATGTTGCATAAATCCACCATTAGTTTCTGTTTGTTTTTTTTTGGCTCTGTTTTCTGATATGTCATGTAACCTCATTATAAATTGTTCATGTACTACTAATCACATGCAATGATTGAATGGGATACTTCGCTCCAAGTTGCGAGCCTAAAAATGGCTCACGATGTAGGGGCAACATTATGGAACTTTGATAACCGATTTTGAATATCGTAGGAGTCTATAGTAATGGAAGGTATTGGAAAAAATATTGTTTCCGTGAACTCCACCTTGAATTAGTGGAAAACTGTGTCGGTGCATAGGTGTTTTTATTTATGGAATCAATTGTGGTTTTTTCTTGTTTTCACTTCCTTAGGTTAGTATTCATTCTGAAAGAGGGTCTAAAAAGAGATGACATGTTGATTTCATTCATTTATTCATTTATTTATTCATTCGAAGAAGAGAATACCAACGGGACTACCCCAGAAACAGCATTCACAGATATTTCAAAATGAATCAGGATGAACCAATATGAGTTTCAGATAATCCAAAGTGAAGTTCACATGAACTTATTTGTCTGAAACTGACATGAAAGTCGTTTATCTCCATCCCAAAATTACCTCTTCGAGTTGACGTTCCTATCACTGACAAAAAATAGTTATTTTGCAAGGTAACAGTATGTAACAGTTCTAGTTCCCAGGAGCTAAATTTGAACTTTATTTCATGGGATGATTACTCGAAGAAAATATTGTGGAGTTATTTACTGTGAGACCAAGGAAGATTTGCTATTTGCTATTTCCCATTTCAGGTCAGATTGATTTCGAGCCAATACAAATTGTTACAAAGTAAAGTAGTCGGAGGCTGCTATCTACTAATGATCTATCAAGTGAGTCACCTTGGTGGTTACTTCACTTATACGCATTTCAGTCAAGTGATAATTCTTCAGGTCGCAAAAGCAAACATATTTGTATTTGTATTTTATATATATATCAATTTACTATTTTCTTCTAGATGACCTTCACACTCACTGTCAAAAAATCCGACCACCAAAAAATTCAATCAAATTGTTGTAACTTGTTGCCTTATTGTAACTCTTTTAATTCTCGCCCAATTTCGGCGAAAATTGCGATCAAATCGTATGAGTATTATTGTTTCGGAATGTTAGCTCAAATATTGATTTTCGTGAAAAGCTAATGACTTGATCATTGTTCAAGGAAATGCCAAAGTTATTATCTCACCCTTTACTTCTTAACGCCCTGTGGCAAAATTTAGTGAATTGACTTGGCTTTCATCATGCTTTGGATTGAAGTTAGATTCCTTATCAAGACTAATGTTCTTGATTCACGTCAATATATTATTCTAAAGAGAAGAGAAATTATGAAATTTTTTGATGATCAGAACCTACATGAACTTATTGATTAACAACTTGGCTTGGAAACTTGGGAGCATAGTATCTCATTACAGGTACCCTATAGTTCAACGTCAGCCTTATTTGAACCCTCTGCTTGATTTTGATATTGTATTTCTTCAATTATAGCTTGATTTTCTGGAAGGTAGGTAGTAGATAATTTCAGCCAATGGAGTGAATCACTGACAATTGGAGACCGTTTGCAACACCAGTTTTGATGTTGCATTTTCTTCAATCTTTGCAGACATCATTTCCTCTGATATGAATATAAATGTGTAGTTATTTCGGTGGACTCTCGTATGTTTGTATATCTGAATGACACAGAAATAGGTAAATACCTTTTCTTCTTTTTCAAAACCTTGTATTTTCTACAAATACCGAATACTCCTCACTTCCTCACCATCAGCCATGTATATGATAAATAGAAGAATCGTTCGAAACTAGTGATGATTATATGCATCAAGCAACAAGTCATGGAAATTTAAATTTGAATCCAGATGAGGGTTCCAAAAAAATTCCAGTATGAATCTAGCCCGTTCCTTTTTGAAAATGACACAGTGATATCTATCTACGAATTCCTGAGATGTTCAAAAACATAACTACTCGAAACTATCCCATAAATTTATCTTTTAGTTTTCATTTTTATGTTGATTGTTTCTTCGATAGCATCTATAATCTGGTACCACAAAGTCCACAATATCTATTCTATGTTTCTCCATCAATAGTACTTTTCCATAGACGAATCATGTCACATCCACTGCCAAAGCTGCTTCACAATAGCATCCTTATATTCCGTGCTACACATCAACTACATATGATCCACTAAGTACAGATCTGGCCCGTTTCAGGATTCTGCGTTCACATGTAGGGTTCGTCAGCACTCAAATGGACGCTGATGCTCTCAGAATCCATTCAAAGTCGATCCATTTGTCTGGTTCGTGATACCACAAAAACTTTTTCCGCGATATAATTAAAACATCGCAGGGAAGTTGGAGGAATAAGGGTCTTCGAAGGTATTGTTGACACTCTAGCGAAAAATGTTCGTCAAAAATCGTGACTGTCATTCGATCAGTAGCAATACCAGTCAGACAAACTGAAATAATTTGGATCTGAGGGTTCGACCAGACTTCAACAGCAGCATAATAATTCAGAAACTCATTCTCACTTGTATTTCGATGGTATATATATTTTTCTTTCGCAATTAGGATTACTACATCTGAATCTACTACTCACAGTCCCTTTTCCGGAGCATTATCCTGAAGAATTATGAGATTTTATAGAATTCAGCCTTCTACAGGCACTTGTATTGTATTTCTAAAGTCAGATGGAGTGTTTCAACCAAGGAATGTTTGTCACGAACTCCAAACGAACCGACAGCGCGCGGCTCGTATTTTTTGTTTGAGCGACTCCAATTGACTTGGGATAGACGATACCAACGTCTGTTTCAGCACTTTTGTTGCATGTCATGTAACTGGAACATTTTTTACCCACCTCTTTTTTATCTTATCCCTAATGTTGTGGCACTCAGACATATGTTTCATCTCTTGGAGAGCACTAACGAGAATCCCGTTTCACAAGGTTCCACTTCTAAACCTTCGAAATAAATAAAGTGCTCAAAGAAACAAGTGGACCACTGAAATATTTGACAATTCTCAAACTACCATATCTTTCTAGAAAATGAATGGATTTTCAATCGGAATGCAGTGCATGGAAGATGCGATCTTCCTGTTCAACATTCCCTGTTCAAAACTCGTCCGGAGTTTTCCTGTCATTATACACCAAGTGTTTGAAAAACGTATTGCAAGAATAAAAAAATTCAAACGCCTTCGTATTTCAGTAATTTTTTTTAATTTTTCTATCATTGCTTTTTTCAAACGTTCAAGCCAATATCTCGAAACGGAGGATATTGAGAATCGATGATTTCTCACTTTAAGGTTTTTATCGCATCATTTACGATTTTTGAATTATGCAAGCCACATTCAACGTATTTAGCCACTCTATACGATGATGCACATCCTAGAAAATGGATTCATAAATGAGTGTTGATTACAATAAAAAATACTTTATCGATCGATTTTCAATTACGCGACGAAAACCCTTCTGATAAATAGGTTTCTTGATCTCATGTCAGCTCAGGAATATCTAAAAACCATTGTTACATCGTTATTGTATGAATTAGTCAGAGAAATCCAGAAGGGCCTCCTTGCGCCCCCTTGGATCGCCTTATCTGAAAAATCACGAAATCGATTCGAGATATTGAGCAGAGGAATCGATCCTAATGGAGGATTAGTGTTTAGCATAGCATATGGTTACGGCAGCATCAAACTGAACAGACGATTTCACCAAATTCTGAACATTTCCCAAAAAAAAATTTTTTTTCCTCCTGTTGAAGTAGTCGATAGTTTCAACGCAATATGAATCCATTTTCTAGGATGTTTTCCATCGTATAGAGTGGCAAAATACGTTGAATGTGGCTTGCATAATTTTAAAATCGGAAATGATGCGATAAAAACCTAAAAATGAAAAATTATCGATTTCGAACATTCTGTATGAGGAATATGGGAAATAACAAAACCTTTTCGAGATATAGGCGCGGAAAAAATGATAAATAGGAGGATAACAAAAATTTCCTGGAATACGGGAGCGTTTGAATTCTCTCATTTTTCTAATACTCTAGTCGAATACTTGGTATATAATAACAGAAAAACTCCCGACGAGTTTTGAACGAGGAATCTTCAACAGAAAGATCGCATCTTCCAAACACTGCATTCCGATTGAAAATCCATTCATTATTCAAAAAGTTATGACAGTTTGAAAATTGTCTAAAAATTTCAGTGGTCCACTTGTTTGTTTGAGCACTTTAGTAATGTATCGACATTATTGAATAAACGTTACGATACTTGTGATTTTTTATGTGTATCAGGTCTTTCGAGCAATGTATGACAGTTAGTTGTGGTGAAAATTCTTCGTCAATAACTCTAACTAAATCGCTATTTTTCAGTGACTACGGAGGAACGAACAGCTAGAGCCAGCACAGATAGACCAGAATTCATGGTGTCTATGAAAGATGCTGAACTCTTGGAAGATACATATCTTCGTTTCATGGTGAAAATTGTTGGAGAACCCAACCCTGAAGTCGCATTGTGAGTATATAATGATCCATCAATTCGAACAAAATATTCAATGAGCATACAGGGTGATATCGAAGTTAGTGCATGCTTGTGAAGAGGAAGTAGAATTCATTGAAATAGACAGATCCACCGGATATTGCCTTGGTGAAAGTTGCTACTTACGGAGATATTGATATTACAAAATGGAACTGTTTCAGTGAAAATTTGTATTTCATTATTTCGAAGTATTAACCCTAACCAGTTTCCTGTCGCAGATCTTTTCTTCCTCAGAGCTGTGTTCCCTTCCTGAATACTTATTGAAATTCACGATATTTCATAACATGAAAAACGCGGGAGAACGCGTGACGTAATCATCCGTGAACACCTTATAAGATTCGACTCACGTATCTATTATCTATTTTCGGTAGACAAGTACAAGAATCTTCATGATTATCATTTCAATCAGGATATTGAATGAATTTCTTGGATTGAATACTTACTGCAGATAACATAGAACACAACACACAATTGGAGAATCACATATGATGAAGAACATATTTGAACATTCGCATCTTGACTAGTTGAAACAAGGATTTGACGATGAAGTTGACAGCCAATATAAACTCAGGCATTACACTGCTGCCCGTGCCACAAAATAATTCGGGATTTAATGAAATCTCGATAACCATTAGCAATTCAAAAATATTCATATCGGTACTGAAGCATCTTACAAGTATATGAGTATTCATTGAGTTATTATTGGGGACCAGCTCAAACTATTGTCTACCTCGAATAGGAATACTACACGCAAAAAGGAGTTTTGTTGCATCAAAAAAATAATTTTTGTTCCTTTCCTTGTTGAAATAAACACAATTTTGCGAAATCAACAAAATATGTGTTCATTCCAAATGAGCGACTTATTCAAAAAGAGAAAAAAGATTCGATTGAAATATTCGCTCACTCGAAAAAAAGTTTCATTTCATTCAACAACATTTATAGTTGACATAAAACGCATTTTCTTGATCCAACTGACATCTCATCGTATAACCAATCATATGCATCTTGTCTATTTGACAAAATTAAATTCATTTTCTCAAAGATTCAACTAAGTACAACATCATATTCTGTTGATTCAACAATCATTGCATTGCGAAACCAATCAAATGATTTTTTCTATTCGACAACATGGGATTGATTATGACAAAATTATATTTCGTTGATTGAACTCATCATTATCAAGAAGCAGATTATTTTGTTGAACAGAATCCACGGATACATTATATAAAACAAATATTCTATTGAATGATTATCTAGTTGCATTTTCGTCACCAGGTGGGGTTTCTTCCCACCTTCCTACGCTCGCCTCGATTGGGGTGTACATATACCTACCTAGAACATCCGTTTATATAATTATATTAAGCTGTCCTAGAATTTCTAATGACGCTTATACAAGCTAATAGTCTTGAATCAACTGAGAAAATTAATCTCTGATTATATTCAGTTTTGTTTTTCAGTTACTGGGTTTTGTTTTTGATATCATTCAACAAAATATTTTGTCAATTCTAAATACAATTTTGTTGATCGAATGAATCATTTCATTGAATGAAGAAACCATTTTGAAATATTCAGAATATATATTGTTATCTTGACATATTCACTCTCAGAGAGACTGCAAATTTTGTCACTTGAATGAAAGGACATGATCATTTCAATCAACATAATCTGATCATCAGAGCAGATATTGTATTATATGAACAAAATAGTCTTTGTTTATTCAATCAATACCTGCTGTCATTCTGAATCATTAATGAGTTACATCAAATGAATTGTAATACAAAAACTGACAAAAGAAATTGTTGCAGTGACGAAATATTCGATCATATATCCACATATGACACTCAGATTTTCTTGAATTCACAAAAATTTCGTAGTTTCAAAAAAATGTTCTTCTGTTAATTCCATTGGTCATAATTGATCTCATGAGATGATTACTAGTTACAAATCTAGCAGCGTCGAAATATGTAATCCTACTTTTTATGCGAAAGCCAGAATTTGGTTCATGACCTCTTCGAATCTGACGTTTTTCGAAGTCGCCGAATTTATTTATTGAGAAAAAAAAGTGATGATTTTGAATAAAGAATGATTAAATCAAATTCTTTTTATACACGGAATGATCAATATAAAGTAGCTATGTGGCGTAAATTGTACTAGTGTGTACAACCCCATTGTCCAGTTCTTGAATTCCAAGTGGAATTCATTACAGATGAATATTCAGAATAATGAATAGCTCACACTTTTTCTCACCATCATCATATCATCATTACAGCTTCAAAGATGGAACGAAAATTCTGGAATCCAATACACGTTACCAGATCATCAGAGAACATTCTGACAAGGGATTCTACGAACTGGTTATACCCGAAGTTAAGAAAACGGATGCTGGCATCTACAAATGTGTGGCGACAAACAAATTTGGAGAAGCTTCTTCAGAAGCTTCTGTAACTGTTACAGGTATTTGACATCTATTATCCGAATTTCTGAAAACTCGTAGGTAACATCCCTAGACCATGACAAATAGCCGACTATTATTTTCGTCATAATTCTATCGAGAGTACCTCGTATTTTGACAATTTGATGGGACCATATGAACATAAATAGTCATAGAATAACTCCCTCGAGCTAAAGCTCTAGATGATCATTCATGTTCATATGGTCGAATTGAATTGTCACGAAATACAAGTTACTCGAGATGAATCAAAGGAAATAATAGTCTTTATTTGTCATGATCGAGTGATATTCAGGAAGATTATCTCATGAACGGTGCAAAAATACTGGTTTAAATGAGTATCAAAATGTTATTCAAGTTACAATTCTGCAGACACTATTTGAATAAAAATTCTTCTGAAGGCCGTCTGGGGTATCCTCATCATATCTACGTACAATTGTAATAAAAAGAAAGAATAATAAAAAAAGAATATTAATGCTATTGATAGCGTTAATATTCTCTGATTAGAGCTTATTCTGTACTTCTCTTTCATGTTTGAGGAAAATATTGTAGGCTCCGCCTTTTTGCATTATGCGCAACCCTGGCACCTTTGAATTCGATATATTCAAATGGATTTGTCTTACGTTTATGTTCATTGAAGTTACTTTCCTGTATATAGTTTTCCATATCAATTTCAACTGTGTATTTCTAATATTCCTCACCATTCTCCTCGCCCAATCTTTTACGATTTGGACAATCACGAGAGATGGGATAGTTGCACAAAAGTCATAGTTTTTATGCTGGCAAGTAACATGAATTGTTCCAGACAGACTCTTTACTCTCCTTGTCATTTTCTGATATCGATACGCTTACATAATTACGAATTCCCGTAGTGGAAGTTGACCCAAAACGAGACATTTCAATTTTTGAGTGACTGATAGGTATGTCAAAGTTTGACAACCATAGTACTCTTATGCTGGCGAACAGAATAGCCGCTCATATTGTTTGTTTACCTAAATAACCACTGATATCGCATATCATGTGACTTCAATCATGACATTTCATAGGTCCAGCCGGGTGTGAATGAAATAATCATTGGATATCTTCAGAATGAGATTATATACCGGGTGATACATACTTTTGGTATACTCTTCTCCTCCTCTCTGTTTTTCAGCTATACTTAAATCTGAAATTTGAATCATCGAATATGCTCGTTTTCTCACATTCAAGTTTTTTTTTTCATCTTCTGGTTCTCCTAGAGGTGACATCAGCTTTCGATTCTCAAATGAAACACCCTATATCATTCCATATTTGGGTATGATTTATATTCATTGGCATAATATGGAAACTTAGAACACAAATATCTTCGTAATCGTTTGGAATTACCCTTGAATTTGTTATGATGATGCCTGACCGATTATGGAATAGAATACAGGGTGTTCCATTTGAAAATCAAAAGACGGGTTCTTTTCTGGTGGAACCAGAAATGAAAGAACAATGATTGTTTTGTCACTTGATGAGCAATTTGGTATACTTTCTACCTACAAATATTCGAAATACGATCTCGAATAATTTAGATGTTACAGCACTGGTTGTTTTTTGTGCACCTTTTTGTATGTCCTTCCTCACACCTTACACTGGACCAGCTAGTGGTGTGATATACCATACTGAATAATAGATTGAAATTGGACTCTCATTGACTCTCAGCCTATTGATTGATAATCTCAAGTCATTGTGTAGTAGCACAAAATCAGTATTCAAGAACGTAAAAATATTATTCTGTCATTGAAACGTCGAAAAATTACCCGTTCAATTCGCTGATGGGTACCTAAGAAGAATAAAAAATCAATTAAATACATGTTGCCATGGTTATTTGTCGAAATGACTCAGTTTGATTGGTTGAAAATTACTGTTATGGAATCTTCACTCGAAATATCACGAGAGTTTCATTTATTACTGAAATATTTTTTGAGAACACGAATATTTTTAAAGTGTTTCAGAGTCGAAGACGAGGAAGGAGAATTAGATATAGATGTTTATTGGACACTCGAAAATTATCGTGAATTATATCTCGAATAATTTTCCTTATACACAAATAGGCACCGAAGGAAAATTTTCCAAAGAAATATTCTATGCTCCTACTCTCTGACTATACTGTATATTCGGCGATAGTGCTTCCCAATATATAATCATGGACATCATTGAATTATGTTTTTCATACAATATTAGGAAGTGTAATTAAGTGGACCATTTTCACACCAGAGGAATAGTTGAATGATGTAGGACTTGTAGGACTTGAAAATCTGAATATTCACATAGAGCTCGTTGCTACATTATGTAATTTTTGTTTTAAAAAATCAGTTGACGGGTTACAAATTAGAAGGGTGTTGTGGATTAAAATCGCACACACTGTATATTCTAGAGTTTAGGTATATTTGAACTCCGTTCACGAGTTTGTGTCATTGAATATTGAAATTGAATCAGTTGAGGGACGTTGAGACATTCAGTATATTATAACTTGATTTCAAGCTCCTAATTTTTCCAGAAAATAAACATGTATTCGAAGATATGCCTGAAGGAGAGATACTTCCTGCTGGAGAGAAACCAGTTTTCCATTGGAAGAAAGATGGAACTCCGTTCGAACCAGAAGAACGCTTCAAGGTCCTTATGGGAGACGATGAGGATTCTTTAGCATTAGTATTCCAGAAGGTAAGAAAAGTTTAAAGGATTTATCACTTTGGAGAGTTTGTTGATTACTCATGGAGGTTTCGTGAAAGTATGGGAGTACATTTTTTCACCAGAATTCATTGTTACTACTTCATACAGAGTACTTTTAAGCGATATTGAAATTGATTCGCGCTTCTCGCTTCTCTGTTCTGTACGAAAAAAATTTCAATACTCGATGATCTTCATGATATACGTCAACATCTCTGAACTGAAAAAACCTGAATAATCACGATAAAATAGATTTTGTGACTTTTGACTTTGAAAAAGTTTGAATAACTCACAATGAAGACACGAGATTTCATGAGACTTTCCACTTTTGGGTTTATTGCTTATATGTCGAAAACGGTTCGTTGAAGCAAAAAATGTATCGAGAGCAAATAAGAGCTGATGAAATTGTTCACAACTTCGTCCTCATACATTTTTTTTCAATCCCCGATCGTTTTCGAGATACACGCTCCCCAATGTGGAAATTTTCGAATAAAACATTATCATCTCCCATTTTTTGTCGAACACTCCTTTATATCATCTGAACAATTTTTTTCCTTCAGGAAATGTTATGAACATCTCAATTTTCTATGAGTATATATGTAATTATGCTACTTCGTTTCCAACTGGTCAACATCTACACCAATTTCAAGGATTTCCGTGAATTTTGTCATCTTCACTGGAGCATGTTTTTGACATTCCTGCGCTACGAATATCGTTTGTTACAGCTCTGTTCATACTAATGTGTTGCCACACATGAAAATATGTTTCTTCATGTCGTAGACGGAAATAATTTCACTATAGAAATATCAAAGTGCATTATGAAGATAAGGAAAAATCATATATTATTTTATCTCCTGAAACCCACATTGTGCGTACATAGAATATGCTGAGTCATTCGATTCTCAGCGTTGTCATTCTAAATACCTTGGTAATTGTAAACACTCCTTCCTCTCACGTCTCAGTTTTCTTTGGCCGTGAGGGTACTGACAAATATTCTTTGTTTTTGGGATCCTCATCCCCAGTCGTTTCTAGTAGGTCCTCTGGTGCTGGTGGATTTTCGTTGTAATTGGCACCAGGGTGCCACCTACGTTTCCAACCTCACTCATGAGGTGGCAGCTCGTTCCAGCTGAACTTGGTGGTAGATGCGTCGGAAATAGTATCCAGCTGCGTTTTCAATCGGTGGATGGAAGCTGATGGAACCCATGTAATTTGTCACTGATCTCACTGCTTGAGGCCTTGGTGGTGCCCAACATCATTTGGACGAAGCCCATCTTCCCAGCCACCTGCAACATCGCTGTGGGAGTAAGAGAGGTTGATGAATATCTCTACAGTTCTCTTCGCTACCGGTGAATGAATGTGAGAATGTGAGGACCCAATGTGTTCAAATCCATGTTGCTGTGCTGCATCTCCTAGTTGTGGGCAATGCCATTGTTGCAGGTTGTCTCGGATGGAAGAAGTTTGAGCAATCAAGGTCCACATCCACAGATTCCGAAAAAAAAAACAGGGTATACCATTGGAAAAGTTGCGGGTTTATGATTGTTCATGTTTTCACGATCACCCTGTGCTCAGAAAGTCTGTGAAAATGCCTCATCGTGGCATGCACGTTCCGCATTTCGTTTTTTTTTCATAGATAACACAGTATATTCATTGGCGTCGGAAAGGGGGAGGGCTAATTTTATGACACAAGTATTGATTCACTCCATTTCGTGACAACCGCATGCACTCGTCATCAAAGATGCGAAGAGCATTTTATTCCTTACCGTCTACCACATTCCTCCTCCATCAGTCCTTCCTGCCTTGACGGTAAAGTCGTAGTGGCAGATCATACAGTTGGTTATACATCTTTATTCATTTCATCTTGATATCGCTAATTCTTTTATAGGTCAAAAAAGATTCACCCACGCTGCTCTCTTGTAATATAACAAATTACCAGATTTGATAACAAATTGCAGAAATACAATAAAATTCAAATACCAACTTAAAAAATTTATCATTTCTGAACGAAATAGATGATTTCTTTTCCATCTCATGATTTATATTCAAATTGATTTCTGCTCACCAATATGAAATGATTTGTCGAGATTCAATACTTAAAGTTTTCAAATATCATATTATCCATGAGTTTATTATAATTGTACAGTATTAGGTATTATTGTTAACTATACTTCCTTATACCAGAACTTGATTCTGACTGGAAGTAACATTTCCAATAAATTTTTAAAAAATACATTGAAAATTAACCTGATGATGAATCGAGAAGTTTGAGAGCTTCTCTTAATAAGTCTGTTCAACCCAAATTGATCATTGCAAGTAGCTATTTCAATACCTGCTTACTCTCTGGGCTGTGAATATTTGTGATATTTTATTCAGAGATTTGCGATTTTTGGAGCGTGCAGCTCGAAAACTGTAGGAGTTTTGAAATAATCGTGGGGAGAGAGTTGTAGAGGATTTCCAACATATTTATTTATTATTCATCCAGCCGGCATCTTTGCTAGAGCCCAATCACAGAAGTACATGATTTCGAACTAAGTGATTGGAACAGAAGAGTTATACAGAATATCAGTTAGGATCTGGATTAAAAATATCACTTTTGAACTGTGCAAATGATGAGAAGAAAATATAGACAGTAGAGGTATTGTCCACACTTCTGGACATTGTAGTTATAAGCGAGTGGAAATTATGTATTAAGTTATGTATGAGAGGAATCTATATGATTGTGTATAATTTTGTGGATGATGCATGAGTCTCTTATTTCACGATGTTTTTCGAGTGATATGAAATTAACCTCAGTGACGGGTAGGTATTAGTCATAGCCTCTTGAAGGATAATCACCATGCCTTTCATGAAATGCAAATTCCAAAAATTTCCTCTGAACATTCTCGATAGCTGAAATATATTTGCCATAAGACGGTTTTTGAAACAAAACTACAATAATCAAGCTCAATCTACTAACTTACGTTAGATATATGCTTCTCAGAAAATCAAATGATTCGAAGTCTTCACAGTTTCGTATGAAAATACCGAAATTTTTCATTGAAGCAAAAATTATAGGACCAATGGGTTTGGAAAACTTGAGTTCTTGATCAAATTTGACTCCTGAGTCTTTCGATTCAGTGACTCGCACTAGAATATTGTCATCAAGCTTATAGTTGAATGTAACTGGAACAACTTTTTGAGTGAGTGTCATAACTTTACATTTATTGATATTCAACTGAAGTTTGTTCTGGAAGCACCTGTGACTAAGAGAATTCGAGTCTTTTCGTAATGCAATGCTATCCATTTTATCTTTCATTCCTCTGTAAATCTTCATACCATCATCAAAGAAACGTATTTAGGATATGCTCAGCAATATCGTTCATGAAGCCATAAACTCAAAAGTGGAACTTCCCAACTGTTCCATTTTTCCGGCTCGCCTTCTAGACGTCAGGGCTTTTATTATGTTCACTGTCTAAACAACTCGAAAGATTTCCTGATTGAATCGCTTCGGTCGCTGGTCACGCATTTCACAACCCCTCTTGGGTCATTTATTGATTGGACTACATGGAAAAAATCAATTATCATTACAAGTTTTCTTTCAATTCTTGGTCGTCGTAGAAGATGCTGGTGAAGTTGAGCTGGTTTATTTCGGGACACTCTGTATATGACTGGACTACTTTGATTCTAGGTCCGGCCTGATGACGTTGGCCTCTACACCTGCGTAGCGCAGACGTCACGTGGCCATATCAGCTGCAGTGCAGAGCTTACGGTGCACGGCACCGTCAACCAGCTGTTCAGGGAGCCCGAGAAGCCCTCCTTGGTGGTGGTCAAACGCGACCCCGTCGTCAATGTGGGAGGGTCTGCCATGCTGGAGCTGCAGGTCAAGGGCTACCCGAAGCCCAATATCAAGTTCATGCACGAAGGAAAGACCATTGAGGCCAGCAAGAAGCACAAGTGAGTACTCCGAGCATCGTTAGAGACATATTAAAAAAACTATCGATAGACCAAACAAACTGCCGTGAAATTTCATCGAAGAGGCACTTCAGGCCCGTATTTGTTGTCGCTCCTCAAAGTGACCCCCCCCTCCTCAAGACGTGATTGAGGATCAATTCCCAATTTATAGTCGAAATATGAGCTCGAATGAAGCCTCAAGGAAAAGAGGTACCTGGAGCCTTCCTTGAATATTCCTTGATCCAATTTCTAGTATTATTTCTAGTCATGTTACGAAATTAGATATATCATGGATATGAATTTCATGGATTGGGCTTGTTTGATCTGGATCGTTTTATTATCAAACGGATATTCAAGTCTTGAAATTTGTACAGATTCCAGTATCCAGTATTCCAGTCAATTTCCATTAGAAGCTGATCGATAATTAAGTTCAGGTAAAAAGTGAATCTCTATTTATTAAAAAAAATGGAAACTCAGCATATTCACAATGATATAGGTTTCATCTTGAAACTTTGTTCATGAAATTGAAGTAAGTACATTTTCAATGAACACCTTCACAAAATCACAGATTCATTCAGAGTTTTTAATCAAATAGATTATTATTCCTCTTCCTTACATATTATTCCTTGAAATAATCCGTTTTTAATAGAGTAATTTTTGCATCACCGACAGTCTTCGAAATCTTCGGTAATTTTGCACTTATCATGCGAAGGGTTTTTTTTCGAAAATTTGTTTTGGTACTTACGTATTTTTGTCTGAAAAACGCGAATTTGATAATGAAAATGTGAACAAACCACTATTCATCGAGATATTTCAAGAAAAAGTTCGAAATTTTGCCTTCTTTTCCCCCTTGTGTTGGATGCATTTTCAGGTACTTGCTCTTATTATTTTGTCATTGGACACTTTATATACTCATGATGTACTCCACTGACACATTTAAAAATAGAAAATTCAACAGGAAATATGATTTTTATGGCGAGTTTTTCCTATTTAGTGAGCAAGCATACCAGATGACGGCCATTTAATCCATATACAATCCAAATACGAGATGTCAAATGTCAATAGATTGCTTTGGAATGACATTACACACGCCATTATTTCAAATGGTATTCTTCCTTCTTTTCACTAAACATGGATAAATCAGAAGAAAATCATATTTCTAGTTGACTCATATAATAAAAAAAATGTGTCCAACATTGTGGGATATATATAAATTGTCCAATGATGGAAAAAGAAGGGCAAATTGTTCTAAATGTGATCCAGAAGACAGGCGGAAAAGATGGTGAAATTTGTAACTTTATAGTGGAATATCTTGATAAATAATGGTTTGTTCACATTTTCATTATCAAATTCGTGTTTTTCAGACAAAAATACGTAAGTACCAAAAAAAAATTTCGAAAAAAAGCCGATCGCATGATAAGTGCAAAATTACCAAATCTTCTTCATTTTGTGGAACCGTGGAAATCTGTGATCGGAGAAATATGTTTTTGGTCCCAAATCATCCATCGACCGTTGAAGATTATCACTGGATTATTATACTTTTGATGTCCATAGTTAAAATGTTAGTATCTTCGTCAAATTTGACATTCTTTATTTTGTGACAAAAACCTGACATGAATCAAAACATTTGGTCACAAAACACTGATATTAAACACTGTTGCCAAGTAAGAGGGCTCCTTTCAAAAGGATGACTCAAGGAATATCCATAAAACAATTTTTTCGTCAAGTGCTGGGGAGTCCTCAAGAAAACCTCAGATGAGGAGGACTTGACGAGTTCTTGGGGAAACGACTATAAATACGTGCCTCAATCTATCCTTCGATTATTTGATCCAGGTGAGGTGAGTTCAGGTTGGGGTTAGGTAAGGTTAGATAAGTTGGCTTTGTTGGTAGTGAAACATGACCCTGTCTTCAATATGGAAGGATCTGTCATGCTGTAGCGGCAAGTCCAAAGATACCAGAAGCCCAATATCAAGTTCATGCACGAAGGGAAGACTATTGAGGCCAGCAAGAAACACAAGTGAGCACTTCATGCATCGTTAGACACATTAGAAAGAGTATCGGCGAATTATTAGACCAAACAAACGGCCGTACGATTTCATGGAGGAAGCACTTGAATCCGTCCCTTGATCATTTGAGTACTCTATGTTTCGATAGATACTTTGTTTTCAGTTGAATCGACCATTACTTGATGACAATCAATTTTCATCGGAAAAGGGTTCTGGAGAAACGAGACATTTGGGAAATAAATATTATAGAATCCTTAGACCAAACAATCAGCTCAACAATTCAATCAGGAAAGCACTTCAATCCTGTGGAAATCGTGTTTGACTCTTCCATTCTTTGATCCAGATCAGGTAAAGTTAGATTGAATTAGGCTAGGCCAGATAAGTTAGCTTCGGTAATGATCGAAAGCTACCTCGTCAGAAACGTGAGAGAGTTTTTCATGCTGAAGTTGTTTGTGAATAAGGGCTATCCGAAGCCGAATATCAAGTTTATTTACGAAGAGAATTCCATCGAGGCCAGCAAGAAACACAAGTGATTTGATGAAGAATTCTTCTCTCAGGTATTTCAGCATTGATATAATGACAATCCATCATCATAGGAAAATATCGACGAATCCTCAGACCATACAAGCAGCTCATTTTTCGTATTCGCTTCTCCTTCTGACTGCTACAGCAACAAAGCAAAACGATCAAGAGCCATCAGGACAATCTTTGAATTTCTATCTCCTTTTGGCATTGTATGCTCTTCATGATGAATCTATTGCCTCGACATCACGGATCATAGGTTTTTAGTGTCAATGCAATAGCTCTAGACCGGTACTTGTTATACCAGGGTTCCGAATGTGAAAATATTGCTGAAGAATGAGATATACATGTGTTCATTCCTAGCATGATGGTCTCGGATATCTCAGCATCATACTGTGAAGGTAGATTCGAGGAAACATGCGGCGACCGTCCCAGTTTCCTGAGTTATAAGGCTATACAAGACATAGGGGAGGTGGGACGAAATATGGGCAGGTTATGAAACTGAGTGTATGGTCAGAATTGCTCAAGTGGAGTATGTCTATGGAGTAAGGTACCAAATCATGGTGGGGAATATAGCAAGTATGTTGATTGAATGGTAATTGGCATCAGGAGTTCCGAGTAGATTCATGGATAAGCTGCTCTGAGCACTGAATAATGGCGCAAGCTTCGGTGTCCCGCCCTGCTTCATTGGTTCTGTTTTTATGTTCATCCCAGAGGTAGTTTCGTATATTTCAAAATCACTTATTATGGTCTAGCTTCAGAGACAATATTTTGATGGGAGCTCCATTGGATAGATCGTTTGGTGATAAGTGGACTAGAGAAAACAGAGATTCTTGGTCTGTTTGCAAATTAATCTTATATATTTCATATTTCAATTCAGTTCTTGTATTCGATAGTCGGATATCTGCCTCTATTGATATGACAAGAAAATTACAAGCTCTAATTAGATGTACCGGTCTCGATATACTTATAATTATCAGAATAATGTCATTCTTCATGATTTAGGATGGGAGTTTCTGTTCATGAGTTGGGACATTTTATGAATCTCACATAATTTATCAGTGTCCTGAAATTTGATTTCGAATAAGGCGACCACGAATATTTGTGGTACCTAACTTTCAAAGTGCGAATGATGTTTCAGTATCAGACTGGTATTCTTCCTGAATTTTTATTCTGAATTTATGCATTCATTCTATTCCAGGATCCTGTATGAAGACGAAGAAAGTGTTTCGCTCGTCATCAAAGACGTCGAATCTTCAGATGCCGGCAAATATACTTTCACTGCTGAGAATGAGCTGGGATCAGACTCTGTCGACATGCATCTGACTGTGAAAGGTGAGAATTAGTCATCAATCTGTTTTATGAGGGGTGAAAATATCATCGATGCTTGATGAAGAACAATTTGTATTCCAGGCTTTCAAGGATTGTCTTCATCGCCCCAAGAAACATTGTTATTCAAAATTGGGATGTGATTTGATATACAGTGTTTCAATTGATTTTGTGTTAAAACTTCCATATGCAGTATTTTGTATGAAACAGAGTTGATTTCTCTTAAGTTTCCGGAACTTCTCTTCTTGTTTCTATCAACAAAATTACTGTTAATATCTTAATATTCTTATTTGTAGTGAAGGCCAATCAGATAATTTGCCTCAAAATGCTAGTTCTTCCAAAATTTCACTGTGAGAAACTCAAAAAGAGATATCCAACCTATAGTCAGTGACACCTTCATTGAAAAATTTTTGAAGAGAAGGAATGAAAATATTCTTTCAAGTGCCATTCGAATAGTGTCAACTTCTCGAGGTTATATGGCAAAATCACGAGAATATCATCTACGTATCTTCATCATGCTTTGGTCCTCTCTCCGTATTTTGAAAATTTTCTTAGACGTGGTGTCACTGACTATCAATCGAAATTATCTTCCAGATCTCTCATAGTATATTATTTTGAATACGATAATGATTTGGGACAAATTTTTCCAATTTGTCGAAATTATAAATAGAAAGATCTCGTGAAGTACCTACTGATTAAATTTTTTTTGGTCCGAAATATCCATTTCTGAATTATCTCCATCAGAAACAGATCGATTTTTAATCTCAATTGTCCACATTCATCAGAGAGAATTAATTATGCAGGGTGGTCCACGTTTGAGTAATGATGTCCGTGACAAATTCTTAGAAGGGAACACCCTATATTCGAGTGCCACCATTGGGATCTCGGAAACTATGGCCGATACGAAGATGGTTGAGTTAGGTTACAGTTGTGCATTTATGTGGCAAAACATATGCCGTCGAGGAATTTCCCGAATTCCGAGTATTT